ATACTTTTTCTGTGTACACTAGGAAAAAGGCCCATTGTGGAAATAAATACAACGGCCTCTAGAAAGAGGCTCTGGGCGGGTGCCCCAGGCTTGGACACTCAGTGGGTGGGTGGGATTTGAGGTCGCTCAGGCTTTGGTGGCCCCGGCTCAACTCAAGCACAATAATGCAGTTTCAGTCCTCTTCAGCTACTATTTGCAAGTGGGTTTTGCCATTTCACACAATAAAATCCAGTTGCAATTTGTATTGAAAGTGCGTTATTTAATGTGGGTAAAAGCGCCATTATAGAAGTGGGGGCCTACAAAACTCACAGGGCGGGAATCCCATATTCTCCCCCATCACTGAGTCTTCCCCAGCCTAACCACCACTCTGAAGCCTGGCAGCGGCAGTGTCTTAGCTTGTGCAGAGAATGCTACTTTAACTTCCCCAGCCTTCTCTCATGGTCCATAATCTGAGCCTAGGACCCAAGGAAAACCTTAAATGGCTGGGCATTGTAAGCTTCCCTTCCAGATCTACTCAGAGTTGGCAGTGGCTGTTCAGGTTCTCAGGCTGAAGTCTTTCTCATAATAAGCCAAAGCCTGGTTCTTTTAACAGGAGGTGCCAGGGATAGAACCTTGCATGACAAGCAGAAGTTCTTCAACTGAGCCATGACCTGGATAGCCGAGGCAAAAACCTGGGACAGGGATTATTGCTCTAGCAAACCTAGGTGGCTCCTGTACCAAACTCAATAAACACAAAAGACTCTATCAAGATGCATAAAAATGTTTGCAATCAACTAACCCTCCCCACACACACACAGAAGACTTAAAGAAACAGCTCCAGGAAACTCTGCTAGTGCCTCAAGTGCAATCAATGCAAAAGAAAACTACCCCAAAGTACAGCAGTATTAACAACCAAACTCTCCCCCACACACACACACAGCTGACTTAAAGATATAGCTCCAGGAGACTCTGCTGATGCCTCAAATGTAATCAGTACACAAGAAAACTATCCCAAAGTACAGCAATGTTAATGCCCAAACTCTCTCTCTCTCACTCACACACAGAGCACACTTAAAGAAATAGCTCCAGGAGACTCATGCTGCTGGTGCCCGAAGTACAATCAATACAAAAGAAAACCACTCCGAAGTACAGCAGCATTAACAACCAGTCTCCCTCTCCATTTCACAGCAGACTTAAGGGAATAAAAAGCTCTACCCAATCCACGTGGCTGGGAACTGGGAAGTAGCCCCACGCTCTGCTCCCTGCACTAAGCGGCAGCTCAGAAGATTGAGGATGGGGAGGGGGAGAGAGCCACAGGCTGGATTAAAGCCCTGGGTGGGCCACTTCCAGCCCGCAGGCCGCATGTTTGAGACCCCTGATCTAGAACTAGTTTGTCTTTTTGGCAATCCATGGTATCCATAAAACTCTCCTCCAACACCACATTTCAAGTGAATCGACTTTCTGTCTGCTTTCCTCACTTTCCAACATTCACATCCATACATAGTAATAGGGAAATACTGTCATTTGAATTACTTTGATCTTGGTCACCAGTTACATATCCTTACACTTAAGCATCTTTTCTAGCTCCTTCATGGCTACCCTTCCCAGTCTCAATCTCCTTCTGATTTCTTGGGTGTGGTCTCCCTTTTGGTTGCTGATGGAGGCAAGGAATAGAAAATCTTGAACAACTTCAGTTTCTTCACCATCAACCTTCAAGTTGTATAATTTCTCAGTAGTCATTACTTTTGTCCTCTTGATGTTCAGCTGTAATCCTTGTTTTGAACTTTCTGCTTTAACTTTCATCAGTATTTGTTTCAACTCTTCACTATCTTCTGCCAGTAATATAGTATCATAGTGTTCCTTCCACCAGTTTTTATTCCACCTACTTCTAAATCTAATCCAGTTTTCCTTATGATATGTTCGGCATATAGATTGAAGAGATAGGGAGATAAAAAACATCCTTGTCTGATACCTTTGCCAATCAGAAACCATTCTGTTTCTCCATATTCTGGTCTAACAGTTGCCTCTTGTCTGGAATATAGGTTGCACATCACAATAATCAGATGTTGCGGCACACCCATTTCTTTTAAAACCAACCACAGCTTTTCATGATCCATGCAATCAAAAGTTTTTATGTACTCTATGAAACACAAGTTGGTTTTCTTCTGAAATTCTTTCATAACACTCCAGTAACCAATGTCAATTTGCAATATGATCTCTAGTGTCTCTTTTCTGAATCTGGCTTAAACATCTGGCATTTCTCATTCCATATAACAGTCTTTGCTGTAAAATTTTGAGCATCATGAGAAATTAATGTGGTGGTCTGAGAGTTACCGCAGTCTTTGACATCCCCTTTTTTGGAAATGGAATGTGAATTGAGGGTTTCGAGTCTGTGGGCCATTGTTTTGTTTTCCAGATTTGTTGGCACATTCTTGCTAAGATTTTGATGAACATTCTGTGGCTTGGAACAGCTTTATTGATATGCCATCTATCCTTTGTTTCTCCCAATTGCGCTCAGTGCAGCATTCACTTCCTTTCTAAAATTCCAGGTTCTTCTTCAAAAGATTCTTTTGGAAGGAATCTGTCATCCTTTCATCTCTTCTGTATAATTCTTCAGTGTATTGTTCCCATCTTTTCTTTATTTTGTCCTGTTCAGTTAATGTATTTCCATGTTGATCTTTCAGCATGCCTAACTGTGCTTTAATTTCCTCTTGATTTCTTAGATCTTGTGGAACAGATCTCTTATTCTTCCTTTGTTCTCTTCATTTCTTTACACTGGTTATTATAATAGTTCTCTTTGTCTCTGTGTGCAAGTCTTTGGAATGCTGCAGTTAGACTTCTTATTCTGTTTCTTTTACTTTTGCTTCTCATCTGTCTTTAGCAATTTTAAGAGTTTCATCAGTCATCCATTGAGGCTTCTAATATTTATGTTTTAGGTATTTTTAATTCTGGTTTTAAATTAAACTATTTATTGTTTTTGTTTCTGTTGTAAATCACCTTGAGCCCTGCTTGCAGGGAAGGGTGGCCTAATAAATCTGATTTTAAAAATAAATAATTTCTTTTGACTACAGGAATAGTTGTTGTGCATTCTTCCTTGGTTTCAACCCATAGTCCTTTCAGTTCCCATTCACTTGAATTTAGTATTGCAAATCTGTTCTTTACATAGTCTTTAAACTCCTCAGGAATGTTGTATAGATTGTATTTTGGCATTATGAATATTTTAGGGTTCTTTTTCTGCTTCATTCTAATTTTCAATATTAACAGTTCATGGTCTGTACCACAATCAGCTCCTGGCCTTGTTTTAGCAGAGAGAATAGAGCTTCTCCATCTTCTGCTTCCAGTTTAATCTGTTTAATTTCTGTAATGGCCATCCAGTGATGTCCACACATAGAATCATCTTCTCATCTGCCTGAAACCTGTGTTCACAATGAACAGCTTGTTGTGTTCACAGAACTCTATGAGTCACTTCCTGCTTCATTTGATCCTCCTAGCCCAAATTGTATGACAATATATGATTCTACTTTTTCCCACATTTGCATTTCAGTCAGCTGTAATTATTAACATATTTTGCTTAGGTGTGTGATCAATTTCTTCATGGACACTTGCATAAAAGCTTTCAGTTTCTTCCTCTTTAGCGTCGGTAACTGGGGCATAAACTTGAATGATAGTTATGCTGATAGGCTTTCCATGAAGATATATCTTAATGTAGACATATCTTAAATAATTTGGAACAGTCTTGGGTAGTGTGGTTAGACTTTGAGCAGGGAAGCCCATTGTGATGCCTCTTGTCCACTCACACAGAGTGCCTATCACCCTCTACAACCTCTCTTCTTCAGGTTCTGGGTTATACGTAGGTCAGGACGTCACACTCACTGCCCTTCTTGTCTCTTTTAAAATCTACAGAGAGTTATGATTATCTCACACCTCAGGTCCTCTCATGCCCAGAGACATCCACAGACAAGGTAGCCCAGCCCGCTTTAATAATCAGCCCTCAGTCACACAGAGCTGTTGGGGTTGGGGCTCAAACACTGTTCCAATCACTCACTGCCACCATTCATTCATATCCTAGAAAGTATTATGTAGACCTAGATATTAAATTGTGTGTGTTTGTCTGTGCTTCTTCCTTCCCCTTAGACATGCAGCCCACAGGGTTAATCAAACAAGAAAGCTTTCATGTATAAGAACAAAACACTGAGGAAAGTAAAGTCTAAGAAACAAAGTTTCACTTTCATTGAACTTTTGAACCGAGGCCCTATACCTACAACTGGGATCCTTTAGTTACAAATTTACTATGGCTGCGGTCACACGGAACATTAGCCATGCGAGTCAGACGGAAGACATGCGGGTTTTCCGGGCGCGATCTCACCGGCACATCTGGGAAGTGTAGCACTCCCGTGGCTCAAACGAGGCTTCCTGCCGAAACCACGCGGCAAAAAACTAGTACCTCCGAGGTACTAGTTTCCGGGGCAAACTGCCACACTTCCCCCCCGCAGTTTCCTGCCCGTGTGACCGGGACCTATGTCAGCCTGTTCCAAGCAGCTCAGTTGTACAGTTCCCCTCAGTCAGAAAAACTTTTTTAATCTCAGCCCTTAAACTGTCAGCTTCTCAGCTACTAACCTCTGTAATTTTTAAACTACTGTTTTCAAGTCTCCTGCTCTCAACGTTCCATCAGCTCTCATTGGCTGCTCTTAGGGAGAGGCTGAACCTAGCCTGTCTGTCACACCACTGCTCCTATTCCCACTCAGCTATTGGGCTGACTATCTAGTCTCTGCTTTCATAAATCTTGATCATATTCTATTAGGTAGTAGCACAGGTAGTAGCACAGGTAGTAGCACAGGTTCTCTCTCTCTCTCTCTCTCTCTCTCTAATCTATCTGTGCCAGTGCACACATATCTATACATACACACATTGGGCATAGATACATTTGGTACATATATACACATTTGGTGTGCTGTAGTAATTTGGGCAATTAAGTTTTTTAAATCTTTGGTATCATAATTATGTGCTTTGTTTTGTTTTAGCTCTTTGGCTATTTCATAGTGGAAGGTGATGCTCTTGCTGCCCAACTTGATGAAGAAAACATGGTTTTCCTGGTATCCAAAAAGCAGCGGATTACAAAAGCAGGTTGGATGTTTCATCCCAAATAAAATTTCTATGTAATTTCTCATGAATATAGGTAATATAATGAAATCCATGTAGCTACTTTTGTTCTCACATTGCCATATGCTCCATTAGAAGTTTCCTTTTAATGCTGGTTCCCATCATGACTAAGTTTTCATTCTTCCCAAATGAATGGAACGGATGATGCTCTTTGTTTCTGTTTCTCCAAAATCCATGCTAGTTAGTTGTTAATGTTAGTTAAGAAATATATTTTAATTAAGTGTCCTAAATTATACTTTTATTTGTTTTACTTAAAATATTGATATCCTGTCTTTTTTTTTTTTTTGGTATAAATCAAATCTTTTTTTTTTTTTTGGTATAAATAAAATTAAATCATTTTGTTTTTTTAATGTATAAATAAAATTAAATCATTTCGTTCTATCAATTGTCTACCCCGTTCCCAATTCCTCCCCTCCCTCCGGTGGCTTCCCGCAATACTTCTCCCCCTGCTCCAAATTGCTTCATATCATCAGCTATATCAATTTCTTATCGTTACGGTCTAAAGATAACATCATTTGACTTAATATTGATCTAAACATATTAAGTTTTGTTTCACATCCCAGTTCTTTTCCAGATATGTTTTAAAATCACTCCATTCTTGAAAAAACACGTCATCTTCTTTA